CACACGGTACAGGTAACCCGAGATCACGCACACGGTACAGGTTAACCCGAGATCACACACACACACACGTGTTCCTGAAGCTGCTGGTGACCCGCGCACACACGGAGCTCACACATGAACATAACCCGCCTCCGAGGACTGCAGAGCGCCGAGGGGACGCTTGGCCCCTGCTCACTCTGCACACACAGAAATGTGAGATACTCTGAGATGGGCGATGTTGTGACTCTAAAGCAGAGATACAGAGCGAGCTGAGGAGTGAAGCAGCTGTGAAGCCTCAGCTCAGAGAGAGGAGGAGCCTGGACAGGTATGGACAGGTACTGCTCACAGACCCGCCTATGAAGCATTTGTTGTGCTGATACAATCCTGCAAGGCTCAGGATCCGCGGAGCAGTCTTCCCCCCTCATCCAACATCAGCCTGGTCAAGCATCGCACCTGGGCGGCACTCACTCAATTCATGGCACACACGCGAAACACTCGTGTTTGTTTGTTTCCGGTCTCGTGCTTCCCGAGTATGTCCAGGGAGATGACGAAACCCAATCAAACACGTTAAACTGTGACGTCATTGCAGGCTACGTACAGCGAATATCGGTTTGGGTGCAATTTAGTGTGAATGAAAGGAGCACGTGCAGCATCAGCATGGCGGGCTTCGATCAGCTGATCGATAATCAATGCTGTTTGTTCTGTACGTTTGTTTTGCTCGGCACGCCGGCCCGGGCAGGCGGAGCCGCCTCTGTGTCCTCCTGGCTCGTTATCTAATCGAGTCGAACAAAACAAAGCCAGCCAGGTGTGTGGTCACCTTTGGGCCCAGTCTCTGACTTCAGCCCCCCCCCGCGGGTGGTCAGCCTCCCCTCGCCCCGGTGACCCCGCACTCCTCCTCCGCAGTGTTTACAGGCTGTCGGGGGCAGAGCTAACATGCTAACAAACAAGCTGGCAGGTGAAGCTGCACGAGCCGTCACCTCTGAGATCAGGTGACAACCTCTCAGCCTCCCCGCAGTGAGAGCCGTTAACCGCAGCTTTAAACCCGGCGGCAGCACCCAGGTAACCGCGCTAACCTTGCTAACATACTAAGAGCAGCTTACCGGGCTCAGACCCGAACCGTCCGGTACAAAAACGCCTCTGCCGGCGGGCTCGGTCCCCGGATTCACTGTGACTGCCTGTCTGCGCCGGTACTCTCCGCTCGGAGAGCCCGGTAAAGGCAGCGGAACCCCGACACGGTGCCGATTTCTGAGTTCGATGTTTGTCACAACACCGGCCTGACGGTGTCCCAGCCTACCCGCAGCCTCAAACCCGACTTCCCCAAAGCACTCCGGACTAAGCCACCGCCCACGGCCCGCTATACACGGCCCGCCGCCGGGCCGGGTCCCGGTGCGGTTCACTCACCGGCCCTGGTGGTGTCGGTCAGGTCGTGGTTGGCGGCGCACCGGGGGAACTCCTTCAGCTTCCTGCCGCTCAGGTTCAAGCTCCCGGTGGCCGCGGCTTCGTCCAGCGCTCGGTCCAGAGAACGGTTCCAGGGCGCCGGGCCCAGTCCGTTACTATTCCCGGTGCCGCCGCCCCCGATGGTGAAGCTGAGTCCGGCGCTGTCCGCAGAGCCCAACAACACCGAGGCCGCCATTACACGCTCCGGCTGTTAGCTCGGTGCTAACGGCTAACTCCCACCCTAAAGTCCAGGCCGGAGCATGCGCATTGCGGCGCTGGACAACAAGACGAAGCGAGCAATGCTGTAGTATTACTGCAGTACTACTACTACTTTATTACTGCTATAGTGCAGCTGCATTACTACTGTAGTATTATTAGTACTGCTGTAATATTGGCATCACTATACCACTATAATTTAGTACTAGTGTAATACTACTAGTCAAACTGCAATACTACAGTACTATTAGATAAGATATATAACTCTTTGTTGTCATTGCACAGTCATACAGAGTACAATAGTTCAATGAAGTTGGAAAACTGTCCTACGTCGGCACTACATGTAACACGGCACGATACAACACAGTATATTAACTTAGTAATAAAAATGAATAAGTGTATGTGTATTGCACACTGTTATTATTGCACCTTGTTATAAATATAAATATTATTATTGTTTTAAACATTGTTACCTCCCCCCCCAAAAAAAGTCCAGGGAGGTATCCAGTCAGGTCAGCTGTTAGCATTGATCAGGGCTGTTGCCCTGTTGTAACAGCTGTCCTTGAGTCTGTTTGTTCGGGACCTCAGCAGCCTGAACCTCCTGCCAGACGGCAGCAGCTTAAACACCCGGTGTCCTGGGTGTGTGCAGTCCCGGAGGATGCTGCGTGCCCTCCTGAGACAGCGAGTGCTGTACAGGTCCTTCAGGGAGGGAAGAGGATGTCCAATGATTTTTGGGCCATATTGATGACCCTCTGGAGTGCCTTTCTGTGTGGTGTGGTGCAGCTGGAGAACCACACACAGGTGCAGTACGTCAGCACACTTTCAATGCACCAGCGGTAGAAGACGGTCAGCAGCTCCTTCAGGTCCATTTTTCTGAGGATTCTCAGAAAGTGGAGACGCTGTTGGGCCTTCTTTAAACCCGCTGTGGTGTTTGAGCTCCATATACTAGTAGTGTAACACTACAATTGAATGAGGAGACTCATTACTGGAATATTTCTAACATTTTGAGTTATTTTCCAGTGTTAGAAAATCAGCACTGCTCAGTGTTAGCCATTGTTGATCTTCAAAACTGACTAGGTTACTTTAAACATATAACATAGTGTTGTATTTAACACTCAGAGGAGTGGACCCATATAGACACTCTCTAGTGTTAATTTAACACTGGAGATTTTGCTGTGTAGAGATGGGCAGTAACGTGTTACTGTAATCTGATTACTTTTTCAAGTAATGAGTAAAGTAAGGGATTACTATTGCAAAAACGGTAATTAGATTACCGTTACTTTCCCGTAGGAACGCTGCGTTACTAAAACCGTGATTTTTTTGCGAGTGTGTCTCATGACAGTGACGTAAGCGAGTGCGACGTTAGTGACAACAGCTGTGTGCAGATCAACAATGGATCATATATCGAGTGCAGAGAGAGTATGAGCGTGCAGCGTTTAAAGCGTGGAAGTACTGACCTTACTTTGAGTTTGATTCCATAAAAAGTGACAAAAACATTAGTGTCCGCTGTGCGTGGGAAGAAAACTTCTTTTTACAGCGAAAAAACCCCTAAACCTCCAACAAGCACCGAGTAGCTACGACGTAATGGGAAACTCACAGACAACCTTGTGGATTCTTCCACTGACCGCGGCACACCTGCACCAGGGTAAACCTCCGCCTGCCCCACTCCTGCTTTACAGGTGAAAATAGAGCAACAGGACCGCTGAGTCTTTGACTTTATTTATTTTCTGCTGTGTTTTACTTGCATCTATTTGAAAGACTGAGTGTAAACACACAAAATATTTTATTTTATGTGCTGGAATGTGCAGAAAATAGGTTTAAATGTTAAACTAATTTCTTCCAGTCAGAATGTTGCAGATAATTAAATTTTTGCTTGATGCATAAAGTTAAAAGATTAAAACTAATAAACAAGTTTTAAAAAGAGACTTTTCCATCTGATTACATTTTGTATGATGGATTATGCAGAAAAAGTAGAATTGGGCTGAAAGATCTATCGCTTTATCACCTACTCAGGTTGTAAATCATGTTTTTAAAAAGTAACTAAGTAATTAATTACTTTGAAAATAAGTCATCAGTAAAGAAACGGGATTACTTTTTTGGGGAAGTAATTAGTAATTAGTTACTGATTACTTTTTTCAAGTAACTTGACCAACACTGCTCACTACCACTGTAATACTTAATACTACTGTTACATTACTGTAGTACTACCACAGAGACACTGGAACAGAGAGCCTGGCGAGCAGTCACGATGCTGCTGAAATACTCCAATACTCTTTTAAGATTACTGCCCATCGTACTGTGTTCTGATTTTTTGCAGGCGATCACTGACAGGTATTTGTATATGTGTACAGCAATACTACAGTTGTTATTATAATATTACTTTTGTAATGCTCTTACTGCTTCTAATGCTGTAATACTACAACAGATACAGCCCAGTGCTTTGTATAATACTGCTACTGATACCACAGTACTATAACTATTTAATGCAATAATACTATTAACAATGTAATACAGTGCTTATAATAGTATAATACTGCTGGCACGCTACCATACTACTGCTAATACAGCAGTAATACTTGTCGTACTACTGTAATTCCCAGCTTTGTTGCGGTGAGCAGATCTCTGTACTCACTCATGTCGTTTTTATTATAATTTAATAAACAGGAGGAGGAGGTGCTCAGTGAGAAGCATGGACATGAGTCCATCACAGGGATAGCTCAGAGTCACAGAGGCTGAGCAGGTTTGAGCATGGGCAGAGGATGGCGGCTGAAGATGGAGCTGCCAGGCGGGCGGAGGAGAGGAAGATCTGAGGAGGCTCATGATGCAGTGAAGAAGAAGAGGAGGAGTCGCCGCCCTGCTGGCCAGCAGAGAGAATGCAGGTTTACGCTTGAGGGTTTTTTATTGTTTAGTTTATTTTATTTAAAATGACGTAACATCCTGGAAAAGTCAGGAATTCAGACAATAACAGGATTTTTTTTCTTAACAAAGAAAAGAAAAGCAGGGGCTCCTTCACCGCTGACGTCAACCGCTCCACAAACGTCATCTCCCAGAGTTCACAGCGCTGTCGCATACCGGCACATGCGCGTCCAGGCGGTGTTCGGGGTCGGCTATCATGGCGACGTACGTGGACATCCTGAAGAGCGAGTTTCCTGAGATCGACGCGGAGCTGTTCGACTACATCACAGGTGAGAGGCCGGGCACCGGGCCGCTGTCCGGGGGGAGCGAGCCGCTGTCCGCCGGCCCGGAGCCGACGGGGGTTAGCCTGACAGCGGCTGCTCTTTAGCCAATGAGCTAACGAGCTAACCGGGTTGACAGCACTCATAGCAGGGACACCGGCTAGCACGGCATAACCCGGCACGCCTGGACCTGAACCTGGGTTAGCACGGCCTGAGAGATCCACAGGTAGCGGAAACACGGAAGCAGCATTAGAGGAAGCAGAAACCCTGAGACTCAATTATTGATCCTGTGATTGATCCAGCCCAGAGGCAGCTGGTGGGGGCTCTGACATTAGGAGGGTTTCCACCAGCTTCTTCCTCGTGGTGTGTGAACGGGAGCAGACACGCAGCCTGGAGCTGCTGGTCCTCCTGCTGAGGTGTGTTTGTGTTTCAGGGGTTCTGGATGGCGGCGGGGCGGATTTCGAGGACAGCGAGGAGGTTTACGAAGCGGTCGGCGGCGTGCTGCAGGAGGTGTCAGCTGACAGTAAAAACGAAGATGACATCCGAGACATCTGTCTGCAGATGTTCAACACGCTGAAACTGTGAGGACTGGGTGGGCGGGGTCTGGGCCGTCAGGAGAGGTGGCGTGCTAATGTGAAGGTGTGTGTGTCTTTGTGTCTTTCAGAAACCACCACCGCGGCGCTCAGAGGCAGGTGCTGCTGGACGCTCCCGTGCAGCTCTCCCAGATCTCTGCAGACAGCGGTAAGGTCAACACGCCGAGGAGCACGCACACACACACAGGCTGTAAGAGTGCAGAAACCAAACACACTCCTAACACGCACCTAACCAGAACACACCGTGTGTGTGTGTGTGTGTGTGTGTGTGTGTGTACTACCAATCAAAAGTTTGGACACCTTCTCATTCGATGGTTTTTCGGAGTAATGTAGCAAAGAACAACTCTAAATATGTTTATATTTTAGCTTCCTCCCTTTGCTTTGTTGACAGCGCTGCAAACCCTCGGCCTTCTCTCAGTGAGCTTCATGATGTAGTCACCTGACATGGTTTCACCTCACAGGTGTGCCTGTCAGGGTTCATTTGACAGGTTGGTGCACAGCTGACAGCCTCTTTGACAACTGCTGGAATTTATCTTATGGCAAGAACCAATCAGCTGAGAGAAACAACAGTCCATCATTACTTTAAGAACTGAAGGTCAGTCAGTCCAGAAAACTGCTGAAACGCTGAATGTGTCCCCAAGTGCAGTCACAGAAACCATCCAGCACTGGGATCAAACTGGCTCACACGAGGACGCCCCAGGACAGGAAGACCAGGAGTCCCCTCTGCTGCTGAGGAAACATTCATCCGAGTCACCAGCCTCAGGAATCACAAGTTAACAGCAGCTCGGATCAGAGCCCAGATAGATGCCTCACAGAGCTCCAGCAGCAGACACATCTCTACATGTTCAGAGGAGACTGTGTGAATCAGGCCTTTGTGTCAAATAGCTGCTGAGAAATCACGACTAAGGAAAAGCTACAAGGGAAGAGATTTGTTTGGGCCAAGAAACACAAGGAGTGGACGTTAGACCATCTGTGCTTTGGTCTGATGAGTCCACATCTGAGATCTTTGGCTCCACCAGCTCATGTCTTGTGAACTGATGGTCTCTACATGCATGGTTCCCACTGTGAAGCATGGGGGAGGAGGTGTGATGGTGTGAGGGGGCTTTGATGGTGACACTGTTGGGGATTTATTCCAAACTGAAGGCGCACTGACCCAGCATGGCTACAACAGCATCCTGCAGCAACATGCCATCATTTATTCTTCAACGGCACAATGAGCACAAACACAGCTCCAGGCTGTGTGAGGGCTCTGTGACCAAGGAGAGTGATGGAGTGGTGCGCCAGACACAGGCACCTAAACACAGTGGAGATGGTTTGGGATGAGATGGAGCGCAGAGTGAAGGGAAAAGGGCCAACAGGTGCTCAGCATGTCTGGGAACTCTGTTGGAAACCATTTCAGGAGACGACCTCACGAAGCTCATGGAGAGAATAGAAATATAAAGCAAAGGGGGGCAATTCTGAAGAATGTAAAACTAGGGCTGAGTAAAGATTTATCAGCACACATCCATGTTTCATATCTGTGTATAAACCAAAGCTGACACTGAGACTTCATCAGAGGTGTGAGCATCACAGCAGGTGTAACTGAGGATCCAACAGAGAAACATGAAGCAGGTTTTCCTGTTCTGGCTTTTTATAGCAGAAAACCTTAAAAATATTCTGCAGTCGATCAAAAACTGAAGCAAACCACGAATCAACATGTGAACATGACCTGATGAGGTTTGATTACAGACACAGCTGAGCAGTCATTTGTTTCCATTCGTTCAGTTTGAACAGCAGAGACGAGGCTTTGCTGTCAGAGGCCGACAGCACTGAACACAGCAGCAGACTGGTGGCTAATAAACAGAGAACAATGCAGGAAGCAGAGATTTGATGGTAAACTGGTCTCTGAGTGCTGAGAGAGAGAGAGCTGTGCAGGAAGTACAGCAGCCAAAGTCAGAGGGAGCTCATGAGCATGGTTATCAAACGTGAAGCGCAGTTTGATCTTCTTTTGCTGCTGGTTCAGTCAGTGTTGGTCAGAGTGACGAAACCTGCAGCTTCAGGATCTGTGAGCTGTCGACTCTCAGCAGACGAGCTGCTGGAACAGTTCATGCTGGGTCTGACAGAAAGGTCACACTTGGACCTCTGACCCCTGTCCACCTTTGAAAGCAGCAACAACGGGCACGTGAGCATCAGATCTGGACCAGGGAGCATGCAAGAAGCTGGGCAGGTCTGATGAATCACGTTTTGACTCAGTCAGTTTAATGTCACGTGTGTGCCCACTACACCTGTTGTCTGTGAAGACAAACGCCATTAATATTATTACTTATTGATGTCATGTCATGTATTGATCTGCCCGTTTCCTTCTCCTCAGTTTCTGCAGCCAAAGACGCTGAGGGCATCTGGATGATGAGACGTGCTCAGAACACGGTATGTACCGGAAACCTGGGAGACTCATTCGTGGTGACGTTAGCCTGGCTGCGCGGGACAAAGATTACAGCCTCTGACTAAAAAGTCAAAAAAGCCGTGATGGACGATCATCAATAAGCCTTCTATTCAATCAGCAGATGATTGATTTAGCACTAGCTTTAGCCTGCACATGTCCGGGTTTGGTCACCAGCATTTGTGTATCGACACGTTAGTCTGCCAGTCAAACGAGATGGATGGAAACGTTCAGCACAGACGAGAGCCAATCAGAACTGAGTTGTGTAGAAAGGTGTGACGAATGTGGAAGTGGTCCAATCAGAAGCGACCTTCCTGCGCAGTCAGGTTCGATCTGCCCAGGAAACAGTTCAGCTAGCTTCCTGTTTCTCACAAAACGCGACAAAAAGGAGCAGCGACACATTTCACAGTGGATGTGATGAAAACACGGCCACTCAGGGGCAACGCGACAAACTGGAACGTCCTGATGCTGCTTCGACTAAAACCAGAAGAAAGTAGACGCCTAAATTACGACCAAAGCTAAATGAACACATGACAGATGTGAAAACCACATGAGCTCCTCAGACTGTCGGCAGAGTCACGAGGAGGCGAGCTGAAGGCGGGGTTGGGTCTGAACGCTCCGCATTAAATGCAGCGTGGCGTTCTGGCCCGCTGCTCTCGGCGGGACCTGTCTCTCAGGTTACGGCAGGTGTTACTGAGCGCTCCTCTGCTTTCTGTCTTCAGACGGTCGACGCCAAGAAGCTGGAGAAAGCCGAGGCGAAGCTGAAAGCCAAACATGAGCGCAGGAGCGAGAAGGACTCGCAGAAGGCCTCCAGCCCACTGTGAGTCCACCGTCCACCTGTCATCACCTGCACACACCTGTGCCCCTCTCACCTGTCCTCCTGTTTCCTCAGAGTCCTGGAGGAGGCGTCGGCCAGTCAGGCCAGCAGTAAGAAGGACAGCCGAGTCGACCAATCGGGGAAGAACCGCAGCTACGACATCCGCATCGAGAACTTTGACGTGTCCTTCGGAGAGAGGTGAGCGCTCGGGAAAACACCAGCGGGGGCGCAGCGGGGTGGGACGGCTCGTTTTCTCACACTGCCGTTTGTGTCTCAGATGTCTGCTGCAGGGGGCGGAGCTGAGCCTGGCGTCGGGCCGGCGGTACGGCCTGATCGGCCGCAACGGCCTGGGGAAAACGACGCTGCTGAAGATGCTGGCAAGTCGCAGTCTCCGTGTCCCGGCTCACATTTCCATCCTGCACGTGGAGCAGGAAGTGGCAGGGGACGAAACGTCGGCGCTGCAGAGCGTCCTGGAGAGCGACACGGTGCGGGAGGACCTGCTGGGCGAGGAGAGGAGGCTGAATGCTCGCATCGCCAATGGAACGTAAGAAAAACGCTCTGAGGCGTGACTCGCAGAACATCTCTCACATTTAATTCAGCTAATGAGAGTGCAGCAGGCGGCGTGTTTGTCCAATCAGCTGCAGCTGTCTCTGATGCGTGTTGTTTCAGTGCCGACGGGATGGAGAGCGTGCGGCTGTCCGAGATCTACGGAAAGCTGGAGGAGATCGAAGCTGACAAGGCGCCGGCCCGGTAACTATGACAACCGCACCGACACGCTGGTGTTCTTCTTCACTGGTGTTTTTCCCTGCAGCTGACAGGAAAGATTTCTCCTCGTCCTCTGCTGTGATCCTCCAAGGCGGCGGCGTGTTCGAGGCTCTGTGATAAAGTCGTACACGTCCGTGAGCTCGATAATGCCGCTATTACCCGGCCGGCAGGGAAAAAGACGGGTGCCCAGGTACACCGCGTTAAATCAGCCCCGCCCACAGAACACAGTGCGTAACCACAGAGTCTACGTCGGGCTGGAAAACGTTGTGAAGCCGCCGTGATTATTGGGATCCAGATGTGAGAAAACAAGTCTTAACGATGAGCCAACGGTCGGCGAGAGCAGGGCTGACGTGCAGACAGCTCGGTGGAGGCGATGAGTGCGGCTGCAGGCTGACACAGCACCCGACGCAGCGCCTCAAAACATGGAAAACCTTTAAATCTCCTGATGAAGTGAAAGTTAAGGCGGCGCGGTGGTTCTGGGGTTAGTGCTGCTGCCTCACAGCAGTCTGCGAGGGTTCCGCCCATAGTCCAGTCACATGATGTCAGGTTTGCCCCGACATAGGCTCCACCCCCACCGACCCTGAACAGATGGAAGTTAAAGGTCTAAATCCGGCCCCTTGTGTGTTCAGACAGCAGTACGAGCCTCTCGCTGATCATCAGGTCACTGAGCACGTGTGACGTCTGAGCGTGTCCGTTTACCTGTGTGATGAAGGACGCGCTTGAGAATCGAGAAGCTAGTCAGCACAGATGTGGTGATGAATTTGTAATCGTGAGGTCGATGGTTTGATCCCCGGCTCCTCAAGTTCACCTCTGTGTCTCGGGTAGAGGGCAGGTTTATGAGGAGTTTAACCAATAAGATGCATAAAAGCTGGTAGACCCGCCCACTGAGCACAAAGCCTCCATCCAGTTGCGTTCGTACCTCAAGTTAGACGTGAAGTGCTGTGAGAGGTTTTCACCAGCAGGGGGCGCCATGGCGAGGCTTCGCCTGCTGCTGATGTATCTACTCAGAGGACAAACACCGGAGAGGGTGTCGGTTTGAAACCCACAGACTAAAGAAGCTGTTATTCTCTCGTCCAATCAGAGCGTCTGTCATCCTGGCTGGTCTTGGATTTTCTCCCAGAATGCAACAGCAGGCCACAAAGTGAGTCACATGTCCCCCCCCCC